AATTTTATCATTTCATATTTATAGTTTTTTAAACTATCATGATTCGTTGAATAAGGATCAAAATTACTGAAAATATTTGACGTTTATATTCCGTAAAACTTGAACAATCATTTTTTGCTTTGAATTTTTAAACATCATGATATATTATCATCATCATGATAAATGGTATTACATTTTACTTGAAAATCCTCTTTAATCCTTCTTTAATCCATTTCCGTTCTGAAATACCGTTTGTTGGAATTCTAATTAACTTATTTTCAATTTATATAGATTTATACTCTTAGAGAAGGATTTGATATAGGTAAGATTCACGCACACATAATCATTTTTTCTAATTGCATACGGGAAGAGAAATTAAGAATAGAGCATACTCTATTCTTCCGAGAATAAGAAAAATCAGAAGAGAGAATACTTACTTCAATAATACAGTCCACTAATCAGTTATTAAATTCTGTCGTGTACGAACAGAATAGCTAATAAACCTTTCAGTTGTTCGTTTTGTTTTTAGTAATCGGCGCTAGAAGCTGGTACGACATGCCCTGATCTCAAGGGCAATTCGAAATTATTTCTAAATATTATACACAGTGGGTCAAAAAAGTATTGGCACACCCAATGTATTTAAAATATGTTTACATATTGAAGTCGTACATATATTAATACAAAATATATCCTTAATGTCGTTTAATGTACAGAAATAGTGTAGAACTCGAAATAATGTAGTTTAACTAAGTTATAAAAGAAAGATGAAAATTTCACAGAGAAAAAAGTATTGGCACACTTACGACTGCAATGATAGATCGCATTTCTATAGTATTAGGCATAACAAAATTATTATTTCATACTTTTATGATTGAGATTGGGTAAGAAGTTGCTTTGCCACATTATAAAATAGCCATTCTTTTATTTTCCTCGCCGTATGTTTTGGGTTGTTGTCGTGTTGAAACCGAAAAGTTTCTTTAATGTTTATCTTTGTTGCACATCAGTGCATTCATATTACCTTCTACAAATGCCAAATTTCCCACTTCGTTGTACGACATACGACCCCAAAACCATGACATGCCTCCCGCCGTTTTTTACAGTCTGCTGTACATTCTGTGTTTGTAATTCGGCGTTACGCCTCCTCTGCACAAATTTCTTCGCATCGGAGGCGAAAATATTAAAAGACATCAAGAATATATTTTGAATTAATATACGACTTCAATATGTAAAGATGTTTTAAAAACATTGGATGTGCCAATACTTTCTTTACCCATTGTATACTTGTATTTGAAATTTTGGAGATCGGCCGCTAACGGCCGCTCCAATAAACATAAATTAAATTCCAATTGGAATTTCATTAGAAATTTTATTTGCATACCACGTTTCCCACTCCAAAATCCGGACCGTTAGGCATTCACCTAACCACATCGAACGGATTTAAGCAAGGAAACGATTAACATGAGCCTGGAAACACTGAAACAAATACAAACAGACGAAAGTACTAAAAAACTAATAGCAAAAATATTTTATACTATGTGTTATGATTTAAAAAATCTTAATTAATAATGAAATAAAACGTTTAAGAATATATCTTCGATATTTCGTCAATCATGTATCACGAAACACACCAGTTGAGAATTGAGAAACGACTATAAATTCAGGCCTAACGCCTAACCCACAAGAGGATGGGAAATATGGTATTATGGGATAGACTGGGATAAGAAATGCTTAAGGCGATTTTAAAAATAAGTAACGATTAACAATTTTGAATACGGCCTATCAATCCTAACCTTAAATCATTAAGAAAATCTCGAGATTACGATAATTTATACCAACCTGTCGTCACTTTCTAATATCAGGGATTAGCTCGTCTTTGCTGAGAATCTGACGTCAAATTCTGTATCAGACTTGCCGAAACCTTGGCAGATTCGGCTGACTAATAATCGGAGTTTCTCTATTTCACAGCGAACAGCGCTTGAAGTCGAAATGCCTAAAATCTTACAACATTTGTTCCATCTACATCCATCTGTTCATCCACTGGTCGCGCGGCCAAATTAAAGCAACATGGCGGCTTGCCATAATAACTCTTAATACGGAATACATTATTTTGATGAGTGCGTACTGATCATCACAGAATTCGCTTGAATTTTGTTTCGTTGTGCAAATTGATGAGAACTTACCCATCGCTGGCCGAGCCCGAGTTAATTAACGTCTGCAGGACGGACGAATGTGAACATTTCTTTCAATCTAAACCTCTATTCTGCTTTCAACACTGTATTGGACAAGAATTACCAAGTATTGCCCTTCTATGAAGAATCATGTCGTCTACGCAAACCAAAATGCGAGGTACACAAGTAGTACTGTTCGAAATATAAATAATTATTCAATTAATCTACATTCCGATTCCCCTGTTAAAGATATGATCTACTCTGTCAAGCTTCAACTAACTTCAATAATATATAATAACACTTATTTCAAGTTTCAACAAACGATTTTCATCCATAGGTCCTGGAAGACCACCAAAATCAAAAAATTCCTGTACATGGTGTGCCGAACTTAAGTTACCATTGAAATACGTCCTCCCGACTCAGCATGGGAAGAAGGAATTCTGTTCGCAAACGTGCCTGTCCTCGTTTCGCAAGGCATATGTACGTGGTGCGTGCGTCCAATGCGATAACGTGATCAGAGGCACGCCAGTTCGTTTAGAGGAGAAGGACACACCTACAAAGAATTTCTGTTCGCCGTACTGTCTAAATAAACATCACAAGAAGACAGCACAGTCTGAAGTCAAGAAGAGTTAGTAATTCATGTGAAGATGGTGTAGAAAGTAGTCTATTAATAGACATTTTATTATCAATTATTTTCTTTATAGATAATAACAGGGACCAGGGGTCACCTGCATCGTCGCTTGCGTCAGGAGTGATAAATAACAACAATGTACCATCTACGACTCAGTCGTTTACGAATGTAGGCCACAGTCCTTCGACTTCGACCGGTTCCTTCCAATACGAAACTTACCCAACGTTCGACTGGGATTTATATTTGAAAGAAACGAACAGTCGAGCAGCGCCGATAGAATGTTTCAAACAGGTAGGAAAGGAATGAAGTAGAGAGATTGATATTGAGCACGATTTAATACGAGCCGACTTCGAATACTTATAGGTAAATCTTAATTAAAAAAGTAATGTCCTTCGCTACCTTCTATCGACTATGTCGATGAATCCATATTTTCTTTTATTTTCGCCTGGTTATCGATAAACAGAGCAAAAACCGGACAATTGTTAGAAAAGTCGATCCTTAGAATTCGCTATGATTGTCAAAAGTCGGCTCGGGTTAAATTTTGCTCATTGGCAATTTCTCTACCCATTTATAGAAATTAAAAATACATATTCTTACGTTTCAGGCTGAGGTCCCCCCTACTAACGAGTTCAAAATAGGTATGAAGCTGGAAGCCCTCGATCCTCGGAATTTAACGTCGACCTGCATCGCGACCGTTGTCGGGATCCTCGGTCCCCGTTTGAGATTAAGGCTCGACGGCTCCGATAATAAAAACGATTTCTGGCGCCTTGTCGACAGCAACGAGATCCACCCGATCGGGCACTGCGAGAAAACAGGCGGCATGCTGCAGCCGCCGTTGGGCTTCCGGATGAATGCCTCCAGCTGGCCGATGTTCCTTTTGAAAACCTTAAACGGCGCGGAGATGGCACCGGCCAAAGTGTTCAAACGCGAACCAAAGACGCCGCGTTTGAACTTGTTTGAGGTCGGACACAAACTGGAAGCTATAGACAAGAAGAATCCGCAGTTGATCTGCACGGCTACGGTCGGAGAAGTGAAAGACGATGTGATTCATGTCACTTTCGACGGCTGGCGAGGAGCTTTCGATTACAGATGTCGCTACGACTCTAGAGATATCTTCCCCGCTGGCTGGTGTCTCAAAAGCGGCCACCCGCTCCAACCGCCGAAGCCAAAAAGTGAGTTGTCCATGGATGTGTGTTGGGCTGTCTTGAAGATTCATGCCGATTTTTATAAAGAGTTTAAAGGCAGTTCAATTTTTATATACATTTATTGATTTATTATATACATGCTAATGCGTTTCACACTTTTTCTTCAACTGCATTTTTCATGCAACTTTAAGACTCTATTTGTAGAAATAGTGGAAAACATGCGTTTACGCCTCGAAGGTGTCAAAAGATTTAGGAATGTTGGCTCGGCCGTGACTGAGCGCGAGCTCTCATTGATCATTATTTTTCGTTAATAATTCAAAAGCCATGCCTCTTTTTTGGGACACCCTGTATTCAGACCTGTCCTAATGGCACCTACCAAAAATCGGCACGAAGTTTCCGGACAGCCCAATGACTGGAGCTGATATCTCGTGCAGTTTTTTTTTCAGTAATACATGTAAATTTTATAGCAGCAGGGCCTAACAATAGGTTTAAGTCGAGGACCGGTAACGTCCTGCCAGTAACGGCGGTATCGGGAGGAGGTCCAAACGGAGAACCAGCTGTTGCTCTAGTCAGTCCCGCAGGCTCGAGTGCTCCACCGCAACCGGCTACGGAGCCGGATACTAGTACAGCTAACACCAAACCATATTCATTAGATAATGGTACGCATGAATTAATCGCGTTACCGTATCGACGCCTCCTATTCATAAGATCATATCTCGCCGGACCTATGCAATGTACAGTAGAACTTTGGGTATCCGAACCGCTTCAAGGTTAGTGCCGGTTATTTGGATATGGCGGAAAGCCTATTATTTGAACGCTGATGCCGCATATTCGAACCCGAATACGTAGTAGAGCGGGAACACATGATCATATCATAATTACTTAAATGAGCAGAATTTTACTTTAACTATCGATGCAAAAATGTTACAATTTACATTCACCTATATATATATATATAT